AACTAATAAAATGCGGAATTAATCTCCGTTTGGCTAAAATTTCCCCAACTTGAATGAACCTTTGAGGATGCAAACAAATAGGGTGTTCTTAATGCAATTAGAACACACACAATATTGCTGCCACACACCAATATAATCAACTAAAACAGTAAGCACACACCACACACAAACACCGGAATTTTAGCGTGGAAAACCCGTTAACTAGGGAAAAACCACGGGACCATTTTGGCCGCTTAAATCCACTATCATCATCAACGGAGCAGTAAAAAGTCTTCTCTGGATAATACTAGAGGCATACAAAATCATCATATCCTTGGAAGTAAGCACATCAAGGTGTATGGAATCAAATAGAGCCAAGATAAGAAAAATATCACCAGAAAAATAGCTACTGTCCAGACCAATGAAACCCGACCTCCGGACCTCAAAACCCGATCTCCACCGTCCAGAATGTTGGCCCAGATGCTGTGAAGCTGCTGTACAAAAATCACGACGATCCAACGGTTCAATCTCCGGGAAACGGAATTTTTCTGCTGCTGCCTGCTGAAAAACGGGATGAGCATTTCAGCTCATGTTTTGTGACTTGTTCTCTCTTTTCTGCTGCTCTCTTTCTGTCCTCATGTATTGAGATAGTAGCTAACCCATATTCTATTATTAGCTCCCAAAAAGAAAGTCAAAGAAGACTTTTAATGGGCTCAAAACTTGGGCTTTCCTCATGGGTCAAAAAACAAAGAAAAACCCAACAAATCTCCCCCTTTTTGACTTATGAGGAAGAGTTCGCCATACCGGCGATGGAGCAACATACCTTCAACTTTTCCCTTGCTAGAACCTTCGTCAACATATCGGCACCATTATCATCGGTATGAACTTTATCAAGTTCAAACAGTTTGTCTTCAAGTGCATCTCTAATCCAATGATACCTCACCTCAATATGTTTGGTTCGTTTGTGAAACATAGAATTTTTAGCAAGGTGAATGGTACTTTGATTATCACAAAGAACCACATAGCGATGTTGAATAAAGCCAATCTCTTGCATAAATCTTTTGAGCCATAATAGCTCCTTACAAGCTTCTGTTGCAGCCATATACTCAGCCTCGGTGGTGGATAAAACCACACACTTTTGCAGTCTCGATTGCCATGACACAGCTCCCCCTGCAAAAGTCATCAAATATCCAGAAGTGGATTTCATGTTGTCCTTATTTCCTGCCATATCAGAATCAGTATAACCAACAAGTACTGGCTCCCCATTTCCAAATGTTATACCCAATTTGGAAGTACCACGTAGATATCTGAGAATCCACTTCACTGCTTCCCAATGCTTCTTACCTGGATTTGACAGAAAACGACTAACAACACCTACTGCATGGGCAATATCAGGCCGTGTGCACACCATAGCATACATCAAACTCCCTACAGCTGAGGCATAAGGAACTCTATCCATCTCTTCAATCCTCTCAGAAGATGGACAATCTTTATCTGTCAACCTGAAGTTGGTAGTAAGAGGTGAACTAACCTCTTTAGCTTTGTCCGTGTTGAATCTGCGAAGCACCTTCTCAATGTACTGCTCATGTGACATATGTAACTTCTTCAAAGCTCTATCTCGAGTGATCCGAATGCCAAGAATCTGTTTTGCTGGCCCCAAGTCTTTCATAGCAAAAGACTTGCTCAATTGCATCTTCAACTGAGTAATTCTTTCTGCATTCTTGCCAACAATTAACATGTCATCAACATATAACAATAAAATAATGAAATCATCATCATCGAACCTCTGGAAGAAAACACAATGGTCTGAAGTAGTCTTTCGGTAATTTTGCTCCCCCATAACTGACTCAAACTTCTTGTACCACTGTCTTGGTGCTTGCTTCAACCCATAAAGACTCTTTTGAAGTCTACACCCATAACCTTCTTTTCCCTTAACCTGAAACCCTTCAGGTTGCTCCATGTAGATTTCTTTATCCAAGTCACCGTGAAGGAAAGCTGTTTTGACATCCATCTGTTCAACCTCAAGATCAAGGCTGGCTGCCAAACCCAGAACAACACGAATAGATCCCATCTTCACGACCGGAGAGAAAATCTCATCAAAATCAATACCCTTTCTCTGACTGAACCCTTTGACCACCAATCTAGCCTTGTACCTAGGTTGTGAGGTGTGCTCTTCAGTCTTCACTTTGTAGACCCATTTGTTCTTCAAAGCTCTCTTGCCTTTAGGCAACTTCACCAACTCAAATGTATTATTCTCATGTAAGGAATTCATCTCATCTTGCATGGCTTCAACCCACTCCCTTTTGTGCTCATCTTCCATGGCCTCTGCATAACACTCAGGCTCTCCCCCATCAGTGAGTAAGACATACTCATTAGCTGAAAAACAGGTGGAAGGATGACGATCTCTTGTAGACCGCCTAAGTGGGATAAATGGTGGCACGTCTGGTACTGGTATCTCTGAATGAAATTCTTCATCCACCTCTGGTTGTTCTGGAGCATCAGTATCATGTTGTTCATCATTCTGAACATCATTATCAAGAGGTGGTTCTACATGCTGAGGAGGCACTGGATCCAAATCAGTAACATCATCATTATGTTGAGGAACTGTATCTTTCTTCTCAGCATCTTTCAAGGTTTGATCTTCCACAAATAGAACATCTCGGCTTCGAATAAGTTTCTTGTGGACTGGATCATATAATCTGTAACCAAACTCATCTTGGCCATAACCCAAGAAAACACATGGTTTGGACTTCACATCAAGCTTTGATCTTTCATCTTTAGGAATGTGCACAAAAGCTTTGCATCCAAAGACCCTCAAATGACGGTAAGAGACATCTTTGCCACTCCAAACCCCTGTCAGGCACATCAAAAGAAAAAGGAACACAAGGAGTTAGATTAATAACATGTACCGCTGTTTTTAAAGCTTCTCCCTAGAATGAATTTGGCAGCCCTGCATGTGACAACAAACATCTGACACGCTCCATCAAAGTTCTGTTCATTCGCTCTGCTAATCCGTTCAACTGCAGTGTCTTGGGAGGACTCTTTTGATGTCGAATACCATGGTCTCTACAATAAGCATCAAAGGGGCCAATGTATTCCCCTCCATTATCTGTCCGAATACATTTGAGCTTCTTTCCAGTCTGTCTCATAACCGAGGCATGAAACTGCTTAAACACCTCAAATACTTGATCTTTAGATTTCAAGGTATAAACCCAAACCTTTCTGGAGTGATCATCAATGAATGTGACAAAGTAGGAGCAACCACCAAGTGTATAACACCACTCTCGAATATACTTATTCACTCAATGTTTGAATTAATAAATAAATAACTACGGAGTATAAATTTTATATTTTGTAGTATAATGGAGATGGATGATTTGAAATATTATTTAAGAGAATTATTATTATATACCCAATAATAATAATAATAATAAATAATAATAATAATAATAATAATAATAATAATAATAATAATAATAATAATAATAATAATAATAATAATAATAATAATAATAATAATAATAATAATAATAATAATAATAATAATAATAATAATAATAATAATAATAATAATAATAATAATAATAATAATAATAATAATAATAATAATAATAATAATAATAATAATAATAATAATAATAATAATAATAATAATAATAATAATAATAATAATAATAATAATAATAAACCCCAAATATAGTATTGGAAGTCTAAATTTAATCTGCCGACACTCATTGTAACATGACTTCTATCCTCATTTGATATTTTTTGGTCTTGATTAAAAGTTAGAACAAATGAACGTGAATAAGCATGCCAAGTTGGTCCTCCCTTTGTCTTGGTGCGAACAAATCAACGTGAAGGATCAGACAACCACCCACTTTAGATTCATCCATTAGTATTATGCAGTGAATGAGGACTAATGAAATAACCCAACAGCTACCCCATCTAATTATACACGTTCGAAGCTCGGATACAAGGATAAAGGGAGTAGCAGTATGCTGTGTAGATATATATACTACGTATATATATACTATAAGAAGGGAGAAGGAATACCATTAGATATAACTTATATATATACTACGTATTACATACATATATAGAATAATACTTACTATGGGTGTAGTTCTCTTTTCAAGAGAAGAACTTGCAGGAGAGAGCAAACCCACCCACACCTTTATATAGGTATAATATACTCCGTATACACACACTAGTATAGTGTCAAACGAGTTCTGCCAAACAAAGCTAGAGGTTGTCGCCCGACGTCGCCCGACGTCGTCGGGGTGCTACCATCGGTGTCAATCTAGTTACCGTCCTTAATACCACCACCGAGAGGGAACCTCGTAGGAGTATAGTAGTTTTCAGAATCCCAAAACAAGATGGCGGCATCGACGCCTATGAATTTCCGGACTTGGACTGCCGGTCAGCATTAACTCTCCGCCAACACCTCTCACTGTTACCCTGCACAATACCTGTCGGAAAAGGATTTCTGTCGGAGGTCAAGAAGAGACGCAGCGCAGCGGTATGGTAGTTCCGTAGTTGGGTCTTATAATCTGGCCAGTCGTAAAACGTAATACGGAGGAGCCAAAGTATTATTTTTGCTGGGTTGATATATTAGTTGGACTATTGAAGGAGATAAGAAATTAAATATCCAAAGCTGGAGCTGTCGGCTACTAATTTCATCAACTGGCCGGACTCAAGTTCGTAGAAGTATTATTCTAGCTAAACCGCCTTTTGCCGAATTAAAAAGAGAGGTGAGTGATCGGTTCTATATCTATACATTTTATAACTTTTGGGTTATATACGAGACTACCTAAATATTAAACAATTTTGTGATAATTAAAGATGATATATAAAAGTGTCGTGATGTCTAAAATTTGTTTAAGCATGCTATAAACCATATTCTACTAGCTAGTAATATTAATTATGTTTAAATTTGTATGCTTAAACTAAATTAGTAATTGCCTTATTTTAGAAAGAACTTTAAAACTAGGATAGAACTAGTTACATATATATTAAAATAGGCTTAATTGTGAATTTATTGGTATATGACGGGTCATGGTACAGACACCATACCCGTAGTGTTGCTGAGAAGATAATCCTATCCCGAACACGTTACTTGTTAAGTACACTTTTGGTGTATCAATAATAACCACGAATACATAATATTGTTTAGGATGTACTTTATCGAAACGGACCGTGAACGAACTATCTGTATCTCGGAAGGAAGAAGTTCGGACGGACGGGCCGTAGGAAACAGGTTGTGAACGAGTCCAGCTGTATCTCGGAAGTAAGCGTACTCGGAGCGACGGCCTGTACGAAAATGGGGTGAGAGACACCCAATGGTAATTAAACGCGGGCCCGAGGCCATTCATAAATAAAATTGATGCGGGCCAATGGCCATTTATAAAGAAATATTATATGGGCCCGAGTGCCATTAAAATAAATTTCCTTATAAGAAAAATCTCAGCCTGGAGCTGATTACTTTAATTATTATATATATGTAACATTTAGTAAAGATTTTACATATTATATATATCACCCTATTTGAGGGTCTTAGGTATGAAACGATCGTTATACCTTGCATAGGTATAGCGCCCGTCCCTCACCAGTACCAATTGGACTGACCCTTCGGGGCGACATTTTTTTTCAGGTTGAAGTTTGTTCACGAGACCAGTTTTATCCATTTGGGAGATTCCCTAGAGCAGACTTGGTTCGTGCTGTTCTCATGTTCTATTTACTATATTTAAAGTTAATAAATGCTCATGGATTATTTAAATTTCTATTTAGGGTCTGTGTACCCATGTATGCCTCATGTGGCAAATGAACATTTTAAATTATGTTTCCGCTGCAATCTAGTATTTTATACTAGTTAATTGGCTACTTATAATTTACCTTATATGAGTATTCTTAGTGTGATTGATATACACAATAGCCTTGCATTACCTAACGAGAATAGTCTGCGGATATTCACGAAGGGTTGTGCGGCGGTTGCCACGTCATCGGGTCGGTCCGGGGCGTGACAAAGTGTCCTAGTCTTCATAGGACCACAAACATCAGAATGCACCAGATCAAGTATACTCTCCTTCCTGGAAGGAGGATGGCTCTTAAAGGAAACCCTGTTCTGTTTACCTGCCAAACAGTGCGAACACTTCTTTAAATGAATATCATGCACACCCGGTAACACATTTCTCTCCAACAAAAGAGACATCCCCTTTTCACTCATGTGACCAAGTCTCTTATGCCATAAATCAGTCATGTCAGTATTCACCATAACATTGACCCTATCCTTGAAGATCTTCGGATGTGTCATGTACAACTTTGAGCATCTTTTACCTCTAGCCACGATCAAAGAACCACGAGTGAGTTTCCATATTCCATTACCAAAGTTGTTGCTGTAACCATCATCATCAAGTAAGCCTGCGGAGATCAAATTAAGTCTCATATCTGGAACATGTTTTACATTATGTAAAACCAACTCTATCCCAGTGTCAAACTTCAAACAAATATCTTTGATGCCTGCAATCTTTAATTGTCCATTATTACCCATCCTAACATTACCAAAGTTACCTGGAGTGTAAGATGAATAAAAATCCCTCTGTGATGTTACATGACACGTAGCACCACTATCAACAACCCAACTGGAATCATCATGTGTAATGTTGACCATATCAAGATCAGAACAAATAAGGAACTCATTGGTAGTAGTGTTAACTTCAACATTGCCATTACCACCCTCATCTTTCTTATGGTTCTTTTGATTGTTGTAATCGCTCTTCTTCTTCTCCTTTTTCAATTGCCTGCAGAACCGTATTGTGTGGCCTTTTCTACCACAATGATAGCACTCAAAATCAGCAAACTTTCCTTTGGATTTACTTCGATGTTTTCCTTTGTTACCTGGACCTCTACTCTGACTTCTCCCCCCTGCTTTCTGTAACTAAGACATCAGAATGTGAAGAGGAACCATGTGACTTTCTTCTCATCTCTTCATTTAAAACACTGCCTTTAGCTAATTCCATGGTGATAATACCATCTGGTGCAGAGTTGGACAATGATGTCCTAAAAGTCTCCCATGAGTCCGGTAAAGTGCCAAGGAGCCACAAGCCTTGTATCTCATCTTCAAACTTGATACCCATTCCTGCAAGTTGATTTATGATTCCCTGAAAAGAATTCAAATGATCAGTAACAGGAGTTCCATCATGGTATTTCAAGCTCATCATCTGTTATATTAAGAACAATTTATTGTTCCCGGTCTTTCGAGCATACAACTGTTCAAGCTTGTTCCACAAACTGCGAGCATGAGTTTCCCCGCTAATATGGTTCAAAACATTATCATCAACCCATTGGCGAATATACCCACAAACCTGTCTATGCGAAATATTCCACTCTGCATTTGTTTTACTGTCAGGTTTATCAGTAGTAAACACAGGCAAATAATAATCCTTCACATAAAGTAGGTCTTCCATTTTGCCTTTCCAAACATGATAATTAGAACCATTCAAATTGATCATCCTACTTGTGTTTGCTTCCATCATTCAAACAAGTTTAACTCGATACAGAAGAACTCGGCTCTGATACCAATTTGATGGGAAAAACAGCCCCAAACGGTAACTAATAAAATGCGGAATTAATCTCCGTTTGGCTAAAATTTCCCCAACTTGAATGAACCTTTGAGGATGCAAACAAATAGGGTGTTCTTAATGCAATTAGAACACACACAATATTGCTGCCACACACCAATATAATCAACTAAAACAGTAAGCACACACCACACACAAACACCGGAATTTTAGCGTGGAAAACCCGTTAACTAGGGAAAAACCACGGGACCATTTTGGCCGCTTAAATCCACTATCATCATCAAAGGAGCAGTACAAAGTCTTCTCTAGATAATACTAGAGGCATACAAAATCATCATATCCTTGGAAGTAAGCACATCAAGGTGTATGGAATCAAATAGAGCCAAGATAAGAAAAATATCACCAGAAAAATAGCTACTGTCCAGACCAACGAAACCCGACCTCCGGACCTCAAAACCCGATCTCCACCGTCCAGAATGTTGGCCCAGATGCTGTGAAGCTGCTGTACAAAAATCACGACGATCCAACGGTTCAATCTCTGGGAAACGGAATTTTTCTGCTGCTGCCTGCTGAAAAACGGGATGAGCATTTCAGCTCATGTTTTGTGACTTGTTCTCTCTTTTCTGCTGCTCTCTTTCTGTCCTCATGTATTGAGATAGTAGCTAACCCATATTCTATTATTAGCTCCCAAAAAGAAAGTCAAAGAAGACTTTTAATGGGCTCAAAACTTGGGCTTTCCTCATGGGTCAAAAAACAAAGAAAAACCCAACATTTTCCGTTTTAAATGCGTTTTAAACACGTACCATGTTTTTTTTTTTTTTTTTACCAAAAAACACGTTTAAAAAGGGGGGAAATGTTGGTCCGTTTAAAAAGGAAAAAAACTCCTACTTCCCATATAAAACGTATTTTTCCCGTATTTTACTGAAAACATAAACATGAATTGACCAATTGAATGAAGGCACTAAATGCATAGAAGATCAACAATAGTGTAAAAGTAAAAATGAAAACGTCCTCCCCATGATCTCGTGCTTTTGTATTGTTACAGTGCAATTATTAAATACTAAAATTAATTGCATGATGTTAAAGATAGCATCCAGAAATACTAAAACTTACTTAGTAATATACTACAAGATTTCTGATGTTATTTCAAGCTAGCATATCATAATTAAATTCTTTCTAAACCTACCGTTTTTTTAGCATAAACTTTTACACAAACAATAATAAGTGTAGCAATCACACAACTTTTGTCATATGTCATATGTCATCTTAATGAAAATAATGAGTTTAACTTGAGTGTTATTTGATAATCATATAAAGATAATGATTTTTTTGACATTATTTTTCAAAATTATGTCTTGGACTTAATTACTGTTTTTATTTTTGTCATCGACTTATGCAATTACGAACTATTCTTGTATGTAGTAATGAGATTTGCTACTTGAATATGTGTATACTTTTATTTCTTTTTTACTATATATGTTATTTTATGAAATATATCATTTAAATGTTCAAAATAATACCCGTATTTTTCGTCCGAATTTTTGTAATAGACAAAGTATTATACACGTATACGTATTAACACGTTTTTTAAAAGTCGCCGTTTTTTTCAACGAATTTTTGACCGTTTTTTCATTCATGTTACCGAATAAAACGCGTACGTATTAAACTTCATTTAATTCTCGTACCGTATTTAACTAACTAGGTTCTAGAATATGGGCGGCTGGGCCTTCGGTCAAGCCACGGCCTTTGGGCTGATAATTATAAGTGATAACTGATAACAATCAATATTAAAGTATGCCAATGAGCTATGCTACGTCGTTTCTATTTCTTTTTTACACTTACTAAGACGCCGTCGTGGGTGCAGTAAAAAACATAACAAAGCAGAATCTTTGAACTCATCGATTGTCCAACGAAACAGAGAGCAGGTCGGCGGAAAACAGCAGGGGCAAGGAAGAAGACTACCAGGGACGCTGTGGAAATTGTGTGTGTGTATATATATATATATATAGCCTAGCATCTCCGGCGAAGGGGTGGGGCCGGGGCCGGCACTGGCTCGCCCACCCCTGGTTAGTGTTGGACCCGGGCCGAGTCGGGCCCGGGCCGGGTCAAGGCCCGGTCGGGCCTCGGGTCCTATAATGGTAGGCCCGGAACCGACCCGGTCAATGACCGGTTCCGGTTCGGGCCGGGCCACCCGCCCAGGTCACGGGTCGGGCCACCTGCCGGGCCGGCCGGGCCATTAAATTTTTTTTTTAATTAATTATATATTATACAAATTGCTATTAAAAACAAAGTTCAATTGCATTTATTTGAAATAAGAACTACATTTGAGAATTGAGAAAAAAATAACAATACGAAATACATTTTGTAATGAATATCAATTGGGATTTCCGCCACCGTTGGTTGTTGTTTTCCCTTTGTCACAAGACTTCATATGTTTTATTGGCATCCCGTATCCGTATGAATGCCCCAAGCAACACTCTTTCTTGCACCACCTGCAAGTTGCCCACCACAGACCAGTCTTCGGGTCCTTCCACTTGTCAAAATTGTTTTGCATAAGGGAAGATGTACTTTCCATATTTAAAATGGTATATGTATAAGTAGGAATGTAGGATAATAAGAGAAGATGAAGATGGAGAAGAGTTTGAGATGAATTGAAGAAGAGATGTAAAAAGAATTGAAGAAGAGATGTAAAAAAAATGTTAGAAAATAGATGTATTTATAGATGTTTTTGAACCCCACTCCCCACACCACAACCCCCGGGACCCCCCTGCCCCCCACCCATAGCCCCAACGGCTATATAGCCGTTTGGGAGGTTTGAATTAATTTTTTTTTTAAGTTATACACATATTGTAAAATAAATTAATTAATTTAATGAATTAAGTAAAACTAAAACTATTTGTACTTAGAAAAGTGGTTTGATTTATAATTTACAAATGTTACAAAATAGGTGTATAAGTATTTAAACAAATTACATATTCTAAATGTATTTTTAATTTAAAAACCGGCTTTATATTTTAGAAAAATAATTTGAAGTCGTTAGATTGTAACCAATTAATTAATTTGAGAAGTGCTACATATGAAAAAGTGAACACATATTTATTTGAAATATGAAGTACAAGTTTACAAATTAATTTGAACTACAACTACAAATTTACAATTTTGAAATATGGAGTACAAGTTTACAATTTTGAAATATGAAGTACAAGTATAAATAAATTTGACAAGTGCTATAAAATACATTTTGTAATAAATTCTAAAATACTAATCAATCGGAATCTCCGGCATAGGTAGAGCCACCATCGGTTTTTGAGTCATCCATAAAATCTTGGGAGGGGGTGATGCTCAATTCTTGAGTTCTACGTGCGGCCTTCAACCAATCGTGGTAGCATATAAGCGTCTCAAGAGACTCCGCGCTCAATCTCGATCTAGATGCCGTTAGGACGTTGCCGGCCGAACTAAATTCTTGTTCCACAGCAACTGTTGAAACCGGCATTGATAGTACTTGCTTAGCCATCCGTGCTAAAATCGGGAACGTTCTTTCTTTTGACTTCCACCAGTCTAGAACGTCAAAGTCATCATTTTCTTCAAAATCAACTTCATATGTTAAATACAAAGTAATCTCATTCAATGCGCTTTGTTCAATGACGTGAGTTGTTTTAGTTTTTTTCATAAGATTGCCAAATGCAGATTTAAAAATCGATTTTCCTTTAGATGAAGATGTTCGTGACGGGGGAGGGGGAGCGTTGCTATATTGTGCACGAAATTCATTAAATAAGGCATAAAATAAAGTACTAACCTCGTTGTATTCCGTTTTCGGATCTATGGGGTTATCGTCATACATTGGAAATTCACCGAAAAACGCAAGATAATAGAAGTTGAAACAATCTTCCAAATTAGCAAGTCTATAACGAGGATCGAGAATAAATGCAATACCATAAATATGGGGAATATGCGCATAATATTTTAAAAACTTTTCCTTCATATGATCACAAAAATAATGAACGAAAACGTCATTTTGAAATTCTTTAAAAGCATCGGCGAGATTAACAGCTTGTGGAATAAATTGGTTTGCGGTAGGTTTATAAACATGACTAAAAGTTTTAGTAGCATTAAAAAAATATATCAAAATATTACAAATTTTTTCGCAAGTGTCGATCTCAGCCGCGTTTATAATATAGTTATCATGTTCTTTTAAAAAAGCAGGAAAATGTTCTTTATATCTAAGAACAACTTTAAGTAATTTATAAGTACTATTCCAACGAATACTCAAATCTTTAGGAAAAGCAACATATCTCACACCTCTTTCAGTCAAATAACTTTGCCATTTTAATCTAAGTTGACCATTACCCCAAATACGTCTAATCCCCCCCTTTATTACCTCCATGGAATCTCCTAACGCTTTTAAACCGTCTTGCACATATAAATTTATAACATGACATGCACAGCGTTGATGAAAAAAATCTACCCATCAAAGAATTGGCACCACACAACTCACGCAATCTAGGTATAGCAGCAGTATTATTAGTAGCATTATCGAAACCAATAGCAAACACCTTATCAATCAAATTATACTCAATTAAAATACGTTCAATCAAAATATAAATATGTTCAGCGGTGTGACGATCATTAAATTCACGAAAAGCAAGAACACGTTTATGCATATTCCAATTCTCATCAATATAATGTGCAGTCAGACCCAAATAATATAAATGATGAAAATCATCCTCCCATATGTCAGAACAAATAGTAACACGGCCATCAAAGTTTGCAAAAAAAAATTGTAACCTTACCTTTTCCGCATTATAAAGCCTTATTATTTCTTTCTTAACAGTTTTGCGACTATAATTTCTAAATTGAGGATTTAAACTACCTTGTGCATAATCTCTTAAAGCAAGACTTTCAGAAAACAAATAAGGCAAATTTTCTTCACAAATTAAGTTAGCCATACCAGTCAAATTTTGTGCATCATTGTAGGAGAAATTACAAAAAGGTTGAGAATTCGCAAACCTCGATATTTGAGTTTGCTTCCCCGTTCCGCCGCCTAATTTTGCATACTCCACGGGGTGCTTTGCCTTAAGATGCCTTGCGGCGGATCCGTATCCGCCGGAGGTTCCCAAACTATAATTGTTGTTGCACCACTTGCAAGTTGCGTGCCAATAGCCGGTTTGTGGGTCCTTCCATTTATCAAAATTATTTTTCATTAGTTCAGACTTACTTTTTTTTATTACCGGTGGCAGTTTGGGATGAGGCAGGCGCGTCGGCGTCGTGGCTGCCGGCACCCTCCTCCTCGGCCGTCTTCGGTTCCAATTCCTCCGCATCTTCATCCTCAATCCCCTCTTCGTCAATGGTCGTCGGCATTTGTTGTTGTTGTAGAAAGCGGTTATTATGTCGGGCCAATTCTTGTTGGAGTTGTTCTTCGGACATCGCATCTCCATCTCGCCTTTGGTAACCCGTTTCAAAATCATCTCGGCTTTGAGATGAAGACCCGGCAAGTTCTTTACCTTTGCGGGATTTCTTCCTCCCAATCTCGTTTCTTCGATTGCGTTGGAGGTTACCCAAATCAACCGAATATCTACCACCTTCCATCTAAAAAATGTAACAAATATTAATTCACAACAAATATAATAATGGATACAAAACTAATGCAACTAATTA